GGCCAACAAGTAACCTACCAATACGCACATCAGCGACATCACCATCACACGACTGGGTAACAGGTACCTCACCACGCACGTCTTCGGAAGATGTTGATCTGGAATTCAAACAGTTCCGTTTCAAGTTGGACGATTACAAGCTGCGCAAACAGCAGAAGACTATCTAAGCCGATCCTAAGAATAGTCAGAGAAGAAATTAACTTCTCTACTTCACGGGTGCAAGTGAAAAGATAATGAGGAAGAAACGAGTTGATGGGTTTCAAGTACGTCCCCGGGAGCACAGGACGCACAGGAATGCGTCTGCGTTCATTTTCGCAAGTCTTTTTCCGAAGATGTATCCTTCCAAGCAGATCAATAGAAAAGTTCTTTGACGGATTGTTAATTTACTGTATGAGAGTAATGGGCGATTTGATTTGTTTATATGATAGATTCGTCGTGTGACGAGACCCAACCAGGTCGAAACAGCTGTCTCAGCTTTTCAGCTCTCGACTCATTTACACGATGGATTGCTAATTTGTTGAATAAATGGTAGGCGCAAGTTATCAGATGTTCTGCCACATCTTAGACGTGTTCTACACACATACACATGTGTCGTTCAATTGGATACGCTGCGTTATTTTTTGTCAGATTAGAAATTATTTCATAGTTTCCAATAGGTCCTCATGAGCTTTTCGTATCCCATGGAGTTATTCTTTCCAACAAAAGAAAATTCTTCCTGTTTTCAGTTTATTCGTCCTCCATGCCACCATCGCCTCGCCGTTCTTTTTCGCTCCCGCTTTACGATACGTTTATTCTTTTTATTGATGACTTTGTCGTTGATGTGTGTAATGGAGGATTTGATTCAATTTCAAAGTGAAAATTCGTCGTGTATATGGCAGATGAAGCGTGAACTGGAAAGCTAGGAATCACTGGACAGCTGTTTTGACCTGGTTGGGACTCATCAACAGTGCGAATCCATTGACCTAACTGAGGATCGAACCCGGGATCTCGTGGGCAGAACGCAAGTATGGTACACACTCGGTCACCGGGCGGCTGATCAGACCATATACACGACCAATTTTCATTTTGACTTTGTCGTTGTTGATTTAACTTTATTTGTTGGCAACTTTAATCATGGATCAAAGCAACCTTTACTTTCTTTCGATTTGACAGACCTCTGTCTAATAGTCACCAGATGAGATGCTGGATTGAACAAACTCATCACTAACTACCCTAAAATGATGGTCTTTCAAACTAAAGCCACCAATCTCCTCTAAGGAGCACTGTCTCACCTGTCTTAGGCCAAAAGTTTACTGTCGATTGATGCACCCCGCTTTTATTCAGACAAAATAAATGAACATGAGTGTTCGGAATTTCTCAAAACATTGCTTGTCTGCCATATACACAATCTCACATGATGAGGTTTTTTATCTTTTTAGAATTACGGAAATTACAAGTTCAGTAGGCTCAGCTCAAACGTGACGCTGGTCCACTCACAGGGATTTTTGCGTCTCTTACTCACACCTTCCTCATTCCTGGAGACCCTCTGAAACTATTCGCATTCCCGATTCCCCCCCCCTTAGCTAGTATTCAATCGCAACGCTATCGTCCAACTGGCATCACTCCCGCCTGATTCAAACTAGCAAAGTTATTCTCAATTGTTTGCGGTCTACAGTTTTAATGTTCCTCCTTGGATTCCTTCAATTTATAAAAGCCAAATATATGTACTTTAGATACTGCCTCTTAATTAGTACACTCTATGTTTAAATCTTTAATCGAATTCCAAGTTTTACTCTCTGTGTATTAGTTGAATCCTATTGAGCTTTCAGTTCCCTTCAGTAATCCATTCTCCCTCGAAAAATTGAATAGTTTTGGTTCCACCACCTGACTATTGTGACTAAAAGACAGATTTTCAGGAATGATTCAAGGAACAAAATCAATTGGGCTGCTCTTTCAAAGCCGTTATTGAAAAATTCATGATGCTATCAGTGTACTGTGGTCCTCAACAGAAATCAATGACTTACCCTTTGTCCAGTCAGCTAAGATTTTGAAATATACCGATAATGTGGCTCTATGTCAAGCTGACTCAAACCAGTCTGATGCGGTATTCTGCCTTAGGTGGGAATACTTTCAAACGAATCTGATATCCTTTAGACAGCGCTTTCATGTGCTTTGAAGGTCTTTCACGATCCGAGTATCCTTTGGAACGCTCAACGATCACTTCAGTATCCATGTTCTGAATAAACACTACGTAGCAGTCTCTATATAGAGAGAAAAATCTAAGGTGGTCCTCCTACGTACACAACTGTTTTATTGATCGACGTCACTTATCATTCGAGATACGCAAATTGCGACGATTTAGAGAAAGTTACTCAACTGCACGTTTTGTTTTTTCTTTATTAGGGTATCTTTTGCAATCGCATTTTACTATTCCCCTTTGATTTCCTCTTCGTCTACACAAAAATGATCTCATTTTACTCCTCACCCCTGCTTGGCAATCAATATCCGCGTTTCTCATATTCCACCAAACACTGTAATCACAAAACTTCAGGGGAGAGTTTCGCCTATACTTCAGCCATCCACTCACTCCCGATGTATCTGTCTACCCCAAAAGCTGATCTAATTTACGCTGTTCATCATCCCTGAAAAACATTCATCGCAATTAAAAAATATTCAATTTGTATATTGATTGTGAAACGCTCAGTAGGATTTGAGCCCACACGTGGACGCTACTTACGCCTTTGTAAAGCGCACGCTCTACCAGCTGAGCGACGAGGCCACACCAATAGCACTGATTTCTCATAGTTTAAGACACCAGATTCCTCCATCTTTCAGTTTTCGGAGTTCCGTTCCGTTTCTGGTTCTGATAACTTCCAAAAGATATAAATTTTTTTATCAACGCTTTCTCACCAACCAGGAATACCGGAATTTAGTTCGTATACATGTTGCTCAACTTTTTCGCTGATAGTGAAATGCTTTTCCTTTATTACCAAAGGGCATTTAAATAAAAGCGAAAAGCTCTTCTATCGAAGGACGACGAGTGCGTAAATAAGCTGGGATAACAGAGAAAGCAATGACCATAGGTTCGTAGCTCTGTTCTTTCAGATGGCACCGTATCTAAAATACCGTTCATGGTCGAACCATCGACACAGAATGAAGACGGGTGGAATCAAGATGGATGAACTGCCGTGGCGGTCCTATACCAACACTTGAACAGTAGAAGGTTCAACTCCCATTCTCCTCTGTGGGTTCACAAACACATACAATCGATCGGATGGTCCAGTTCCAACAAGTTACTGAACGAATGAGAACCGATATATTTTTACCCACCTAAGGTCTTTCGTATTATCAGAAGGCTACTGCTGTAATAAGCAGGAATGCCATTATTATATGACTGAGCTACAACTAACAACAAGAGTACCACAAACATTACGATCAGGCAATCCATTTTGAGGGTGGTAGATTACAAATCGCTCAAATCGCGGAAGATAATTCATCCCGAACGCAAAACGGTCAAACAAGAATTTGGCGGTATGATGACACAGGTGAGAGCGAAATGGGCAATGTAAAGGACATGAGCAATCGCAATGTACAAGGGATTATCAATGGACAATAAAAACTGTCTAACTCCGTTCACTCAGGCTACTACCACTCGACTAACTTAACCTCATTCATGTGGCCCATTTAACCTTATGACCATTATTGCTCTACTTTTGTAGCACGAAAAACCTTTGTCACATATTTTCTCTGGTTGCTCAGATGGTCATTGATTACCCTCTCCTGTTATTTGATTGGTCTCACCGATCTGTAAAGTTGTCTGATATCATGTTACACGCATTTGTCATTGTTTAATCGTGATCGCCGGTGCAATTATGTATTTGATTGAGAGTATCTGGAAATAAAATGAATTCATGGTCTCTGGTTGAAATATGGTGTTTTTGCTTAAAGTGTTAAAATTTGTGAAACAAACTGAATGCATAAATAAACAATTTTTATTTATGGATTGAAGTATTGGAATGGTCAGGTAGATCAACTGATTCCATGTTGTGAACAGCTGTTGGACTTCTAATTTGTCCAGTCGAATGGAGCAGAACGCCAATACTAGGCACTTTCTTCTAAGTATCCCTCCTTCGATGTTCGAACTGCATTATTTGCGTATCTTGGCGGGAACGGCCCGCACTGTAGATGAGGAAAGTTTCATCAATGCTTGAATCAGGCCTGGTGCAAGTGAAATTTGATTGATTATGTTCATTTTATCCGTAGCTGCTATCTGTCCAATCATCGTGACACTGTTACTGTTGCGAGAATGAGAACCAACACACGGCATCCATCCCTTGAAAGCTTTAAGATCAGTTAGTTGCAACTCATCCAAAATATGTTGGCATATGGCAGTCTTAATTTCGTTCACAAGGGAGAGAATATAAAGGTGAGGATCGGCTCTTTATTCTGTCCAACTCCAGAAAGTCACAAAGAATGAAGCGCATATGGATGAAACAGCAATACACCACTCACTGTGTATGTACCAAGCTATACTGAGAAATCGGTACATTGGCCCTTCACACAATTTACTACGCATCGGAATGAACAGTTTCCATTATACAGCCTGACTCGGATTCCGGCAGTTTGTGCACATATGTGGGCCTCATTTGAAAACAGCAGTTTTCCAACTCTACCACTGAAAAGTGCAGAATTTTGTGACTATTTTTAGAAGTTAACTTTTTGTAGATCCGAAAGTGGGAAGAATGTGCTGACATCCAAAGTGTATTCCCACTTGCCAGGCACCGTCCCCTGTACCGTTAAAATCAATATATCGAAACAATGGATTGCACAACTGTCTTGCACAACCACTGCATTTCTAAATTTACCCACTCGTGCCAACCAATTGGATTCGGCCATCAGTGAAAAAAGGTTGTCCGGTAGACGAAATGCAACCCGGGAAACTGAATAAAAGGCAAATCAACTGTGGACAGATTAAACTGGTGTTTGTATTGTGCTCTCGCAATCCGCTCACTTGAAACTAGCTCGGTCAGCAAGTCGAAATGGCAGACGACGAAGTTCAGGCACTCGTTGTGGACAATGGTTCGGGTATGTGCAAAGCCGGTTTCGCCGGAGATGATGCGCCCCGTGCCGTGTTCCCGTCCATTGTCGGTCGCCCACGTCACCAGGTGAGTATGAATTTCTGTTGGCCTGCCTATGTCGCTTCATGTTTATGCGCTGAAGTTCTAACGTTTTGTTTCATTTCACAATCGGTAAAAGATAACCCACTCAATCTAAAAGATCTATCCCAAATTAGAATAAAAATTTTCGCCAAAAACTGAATTGCCTTACACTGAGTGAGAATAAGAATAGGAGTGGGAGTGAGTGGTTCTTCGTTAGGTCCTCAAGCATTCATTGTCTTTTTGGAGAACTGTATAAGCCAGTAAGCATCCGACTTCACGATATAGACGGGAAATCAAATCTGTACATCAGTATAAACCGGCACATATTTACCGGGATATTTGTGTATAGCGTTTTCATTTGGAGACAAAAAATAGAGTAGTGGGTAATCAACAGAAAACCATCAATCGCATTGAAATACAGTACAACGCAGAGCTGTTAAGAGCACCAAATCAAGTGTTTCTTGCGTTAAAGATCCTGTCGACTATTGAATGAAACTCACATGAAAGTATTATGGACGATGAGAGTTGAGGGTGCAACTTCGGGAAAGTTTTCCGAATGAGGATAAACCCTATAGTTGAGGATAACTGGTTACAAACAGACCTAAACTGGGTTAGCACCAGTCAGTGACCACTTGAATAACATGAACATTGCCCAATTTGAGCATGAGACAAAAGGACCAAAACAGGGATCGCCGTGGACACAGTGAATTGATCCTGTTTCCAATGGACATGGAATGAATAGAGAAAACATAACAATTATTGGAAAAACGGATTTAAAATCATCTCAAGTGGTATAGATATCGTGTACACCAGTAGGAGGATATCAGCTATTACTTGCCTAATGACATCCGTTAAATGAACCCGAGAGGAAAACCTAATAAAATATTTCCAGCGCAATTAGTTCTTCACAAACTTAATTTGGCAAACTATGAATAAAGTACGGTTCCGTCAACTTGGTCACAAACTTCCGGAACTGCTGACCTAAAAGCTAAGATCAACATTACCGAATGGATGACTCAGCCCTCGGATAATTTTTCATGAAGGCCATCAAATGTCACAGGAATAGAAACCTTTTTCACATTCGATAAATATCATGCATTTAACAACTCTGTTTCACTTGATTTCAGGGAGTGATGGTCGGTATGGGTCAAAAAGACAGCTACGTCGGTGATGAGGCACAATCGAAACGTGGTATCCTCACACTGAAATACCCAATCGAACACGGAATCGTGACTAACTGGGACGACATGGAAAAGATCTGGCATCACACGTTCTACAACGAGTTGCGTGTCGCGCCAGAGGAACACCCAGTCCTGCTGACCGAGGCACCACTGAACCCGAAAGCCAATCGGGAAAAAATGACCCAGATCATGTTCGAGACATTCAACACACCGGCCATGTA